TATAAAAAATGATTTATGCATTTGCTTGTAAAACAAAAAAAATGATGATCCCTCCATTCACATATTTCAAAGTCATTAATGCATTCACTTTTTTAAAAATAATTCATGCATTTATCCATATGTTCATTTTTCAAAATAATGTGTATTTATATAACATTTTAGAAGCATACTAAGTTGCATTTTTCTTATTTCTAATTATTTTTAAAAAAAAATTACTTTTAGAGTAAAATTATTTAAAGTTGTTCAATGTTATACTAGCAAATGAAAAATATCAAGATTATGTTTTCTCATTATTGAGTTTGATTTAAACAATATCCATTGATGAACAATAGTCTTTTGATTGAAAATATATGATGTTCTACACATTCCTAGTAGATAGGCCTCATCTACTAAGGAGTGAATGCTCCTATAGAATGGGAGTTGACCACTTTTTGACCTAAGAGGAAGCATACTTCTAGTGTTAGAATTTAGGGAACTTCTTTAAATAAAAAATAAACATATAAGTTTTTTCACCACCAATTCCTATCTTTTGTAAATATATATATATATCAATTACAAATCTTACATCCTTACATTGAACGTTTTTAATTGGACATGATCAATGAGTTAGAATACTATAACCAAGAGATGAAGAGAGATATCAACCAACCAAAGGTAAAAATGACCAGGATTCTAAAGCCACAACGATCTCTAAAGAAATAGAGTAAATTGGTTCTTTTTAGATATCTCACCAATGCCTATTCAGCTTTACTTCATTAATTTGAACTGAGTCCTAAGATGGAATATCATACCCCAAGGAAGACATTTTTCTATGATTGTTTGCCAAATAAAAATTTAACAATTGAGAAACCATCAATCTTCCTTTTATTTTTAATTCTTCAAAATAATTTTGCAATAATTCTAATGCTTTACCTAAGGCTTTAGGGTATCCCTTTTTTTGGAATTTGAACTAACATGTTTCCTTTTCGTACATTTTGAACTTTATTTTCTTACCCATTATCTTTCGTTTTAAGTTCACTATCCATAATTTTTATCCCAAACAATGCAACAATGGTAGTATCATATCAAGTAACTTTGACTATCTTATTATTCAAGCAAATGCGAAAAATGCATGCATTTGGAACTTTGTCTTGATATATGAATATCAGTGTAATGAACGGTCACAGAGATTGGATTGCAATTGAGGCAATTATTTTGGGAGAAAGAAAAAGGTTTGAATCAAAGAAGAATAAGTGCAATAGGGCAACTTTGTGTTAAATTAAAATAATTTTCCTTACGAAAGATGACAAAACCTTGTTTTTAAGAGTACAAATGGAAACAAGTTAGAAAATGAAGAATGTGATCATACTTATAAATTTGACCCCACTTGGAGATAGGATTGAATATATTATGCCGCAAGGATTTCCTGATTAGACTTTACTTCTCCCATATATGATAGTTGAGATCTCTTTAAAAAGAAAAGTAAAGACACAAGAAAAAAAAACAAAAAAAAAAGGATGAACAAAATTTTTTTTTTTGATTGTTGTTGCATATGATAAACATTCATTTCATAAACTTACACTTGTTGCACATCATAAGATTTCTTGTGTTCAAGTCCTTGTGCCCACTTGCTATTAAGGACACCATTTACTCCTGGTTCAAAGATCGTCTTATTGGTTCCATCTCATAATTCTTTTTGTTTTAACCTTTGAAGGGTTTTTATGTCTATTTCATTCCATAGCACCTTGTGCTTATTACTTCTTAATAGCTCTAGTTGCTACTCATCTCAAAGTCTCATAAGCTTGTCATGCCTATATTTGCTCACCACGAAGGACCATTTGCCTACTTCATTCCATAAGTCTCATGACTATCTCATTTTAAGGGTCTATGAGTCTATCTCATCTTATAAGCTTTGATGTTAACCAATCTTAAAACTTTGGTACTTGTTTCTTCTCATAAACTCTTATGCATTCTCTATCTCACGAACTTCTGTACCTGAATATATCATAGGTCCCATAGCTGTCCCATTTCACAAGCTCATGTGCTTATCTCATCTTATTAGCTACAATGACAGCTAATCTCAAGCTCCTGTATTTACTTTTTCTCATAGGTTCTTGTGCATTCTTCACCTCACAAACTTCTGTAAATATCCATCTCATATATTCATAGCTATCATGGTGTGTAAAAACTGATCATTGGGCAAGTGTACCCGTTGTCGAAGTAATATTATTAAAATTAAAATTAAAATTAAAGTACCAAGTGTCGTATCCACAGGGACTGTTATTAAGAAACTTTTCCTTAATTGCGTAATTGTTAATAAATATGAGAAATAAACCTTGTTGATGAAATTGGTAAAAGTAAAAGAATAATAAATTAAAAGGAACAGATATTCTAGTGAAAATAAATTATAAAAAATTATGACTAAAGGTATTCAATGTAAAAAGGCAAGTATCTAGACTGTAAATCCCCCTAAGTGTCCAAATAACTGAAATTCTTCTTCAACTACTTAGTTCCAAACCCTTATCGCTGCAGGAAATTTCAAATTAAATCAATACCTTTCTCAAGGATAATGATTTCTAACCCTCAGTTGATTAATCGGAATCTCTTCCTTAATTAATACCCCTAGGTTGCATTAAGTTCATTATGAATTCTATAATTAGGGTTAATCCTAATACAGAAAACTCACGTCTTTCTATCTCTAGAAATACATTCAAGTCTTTTTAATTGAGCAATGTTAATTTTATGCAGGAATTTTACTCAAATTCAAACAAGAAAATAAGATAGAGAAAATTGATACTACTCAATTAAACCCAAGAGAAAAGAACATGAAATAGCATTAGAAGAATTCCAGAAAATTTAGTCAATTAGGATTCATTACGTCTAGATACTCAAAAGAAAGTTAGAACCTAAACATCTTGAAATTAAAATTACAAAAGAGATGAAATAAAATGCTTAATCCCATCCTCTTGCCGTCTCTGAGTCTTTCGTCTCCAAAAACTGCCTCCCTTAGGTTTGAGTTCAGTTCTCCTTTTATAGAAATTATCCTAGGGTTAATTTTCTCACAAAAGTTAAATTTCTGACGCACGTAAAAGTACACGCCCAAGTACACGGCCATGTACTTGGCTGTGTACATCTCTGTTTTCTAATAGATGCCTTTCAAAGCTTTCCATAAAAGTACACACTCATGTACACGACCATGTATCTGGCCGTGTACATCTCTGGTCTTGATGATACACTTCAATTGACACGACCAGTGAGATACACGCTCATATACATGGGCATGTACTTGCCCATGTATATCTCTGGTTTTTTTTTTTCTTCAATTCTTGACATCTTTAAGGCTTTCACTTCTTGATCCTTTTTCCTGAATTATGAATAAAATAAAATTAATAATAGTAAATTTTCTCAATGAATAGCTTAAAACTCTCAATTATCATTCATGAATTACAATGTAGGATCAAGTATAGAAAGCATTTATCAAATTCCCCCGAACTTGAACGTTTGCTTGTCCCCAAGCAAAGAAATATATCAATTTTACCCTTGACAACAAAGAATCAAATTCTTGAATTTTTTTTTATTTTTATTATTTTTATTTTATTTTATTTTTAGAGGGAAAGTAATTCTTAAACATCAAATTGTGCTTTCTTTTACTCTCGACCTCTGTAACTTCAGACAGAATTGAAATAAGTACCTCTCTACCATTAGCTCTTACAATTTTAATTCAAAACTTTGAATTCTTCCACAAGGTGTTATTTAATTTTCTTTACTTTGAGCCATGATCGGCTAGTAGGGTGCATTTTATGCTCCATCCCAATTAGCACAAGGTATTAATGGAAAATTCCACCCCTTGCTTTCCACATCGGTACCTCAAACAATTTCAGGGTTCTAGGATGTGGTATCCGGACATTTCCTGCAATCCACATTCAACTAGTTATGCTTCTATGGCATGCTCTTTTATTTCTGAGCAGAGCCCCAATTTTTCAGATATTAACGATTCTTAAAAAAAAAAAAAATTTGCATAGATTCAAGGGCATAGATTCAAGGTCCTCAAATCAGAAAAATCTACCGATACTTCAATCGAGAAACAATCAAAAACACAAATCCAATATCTAGAATAACTGCATATGAATCTTTATTATTTATTTTTTTTATTTTTATTTTCAGGAATATCATCTTCTATGCAACAGTAAAATTGACTCAGTATTGCTCAAGAATAAAACAACAATTCAGTTCAAACATCTATAATTATCTACCCCACAGTGTAAGATTTGCATTGTCCTCAATCAAATAGAAGAGTTAGAGTGTAACTAAAACTTCCCTGAAGAGTAAGTAAATAAGCAAAGAATCTTGGGAAGCAAAACTAATCTGAGATTGACTTGGAAAGGAAACTTGATTAAAACTGATTTATAAGAAGATTTAACTCAGTTCATAATGACAAAAGGAGTAGAATGATCAAAATAATGCGATAAAGAAACAGAAGCAATAAACAGACAAAAGCAATTTAAATCCTAAATATAACATAAGTAAAAAATTCAACAACTAAGACTCCTAATTGCAGACTAAACTACTCATCATCTGAGTCTTCATCATCTATACTAAGAAAGTGGTCAGAAGGAGATAGGGTTCATGCTGGGGCGAGGACACTTATTCAAAATATAAATAAATGAGCAAATAAATAACTAAATTAAAATAAACTAAACCTACCTAACCTAAACTATTCAATGTAATTCAACATTCAACATGCAACATTCAACATGGAAGAGTTTAAACTCCTCATTTGCAAAAGTTTGCAGTTGACCCCCTTGGTACAGTTTCAGCCTATGTTCATTCACCTTAAAATTTCCTTTTTCTGGATGAGTTAATTCAATTATACCACAAGGAAATACCTTATGCACAGTAAACGGTCCAGACCAATGGGATTTGAGTTTACCAGGGAATAATTTGAGATGAGAGTTGTACAACAGTACTAAATCACCTTTTTGAAATAGTTTACCTCCCTTGAATTTTTTATGATGGTAGACCTTCAATTTTTCATCTGACAGTTCATTAATGGATGGGTTGCGTTGCTTCTCTGATTTCCACTCCAAAACTTTGAAGTCTCTCTTTCTCCATAATGGCTTAGTTGCTTCTAAATGACACCACTGTTCTTGAGTTACCAAGCTCATATCATCTTTTCCTCTATCATGAACTAAGCTTCTTTCCAATGGGTTTGAAATCAAAAATTCCTGTGCACAATCAGAAACATAATCATTAATTACATTAATAAAGTAGCAAGAATCATCTTGTTTCAAAGACTTTTTTATCACATCAGGAATTTTGAAAGTGACTTTTTCATCTCCAACCCTCAAAATTAACTTTCCATCCCTCACATCAATTATAGCCCCTGCAGTAGCTAAAAATGGACGACCTAAGATCAAGGGAACATTAGTGTCCTCGTCCATATCAAAAATCACAAAATCAACAGGAAAAATAAATTTGTCTACTTTTACAAGCACATCCTCAATGATACCCCTAGGATATTTAATTGACCTATCAGCTAATTGAATACTCATCCTAGTTGGCCTAGGTTCCCCTAAACCTAATTTCTTAAAAATAGAATATGGCATCAAATTAATGCTAGCACCTAAATCAGCTAAAGCCCTATCAACTATCAATCTACCAATGAGACAAGGAAGAGTAAAACTCCCTGGATCCTTTAATTTTTCGGGCATCTTGTTTTGCAGAATTGCTAAGCATTCTTCATTCAGAGTTACTGTGGCCAACTCCTCCAATTTCTTCTTGTTGGACAGTAGATCCTTCAGAAATTTGGCGTACTTGGGCATCTGTGCCAAGGCATCAACAAACGGTAAATTAATATGAAGCTGACGAAATAAGGAAAGAAATTTACCAAACTGTTCATTGTCTCTGTCCTTCTTCAATCTAGCTGGGTAGGGAAGTGGGGGTATGAATTCTTTCACTACAGGGGGCTTTTCCACAGTCTCCTCTTGACATTTATCCTCCTCTTCAACTGCATCTTTTTCTGTTTCTTGCTTCCCCTTCTCTTGTAATGTTCTGCCACTCCTTAATGTTACTGCATTGACCTGCTTCCTAGGATTAGTCTCAGTATTGCCAAGCAAGCTTCCTTGGGGTCTTTCTGAGAGGAGTCTAGAAATTTGACCCAACTGAATTTCTAAATTATGAATAGAGGCTTGTTGATTTCTTAGTGCTGTCTCAGTGGATTGGAACCGAGATTCTGAAGTTTGAATGAATTTGGTCATCAACTCCTCAAGGTTTGACTTCTTTTCAGCTGGGGGTAGTGGTGGATGTGAAGCTTGTTGAAATCCTGGGAGTGTGTTGTTCCGCATTGGCTGTTGGTTGTTGTTCCATGGTTGGTTTGCATAGTTCCTCCAGCCCGGATTATTCATGCCATTATAATTTTGGTAAGGTGGTATGTTTCCTATCACATTGGCATATTCTTCCTGAGTAGCTCGACACTCATAATTAGGGTGGCCTCCTCCGCAAATATCACATCTCATTACCGGAGCAACTTGATGGTTAACAGATAGACCATCAATCTTCTTCCCTAAGGCTTCCACTTGCATTGCCAAGGATGTTACTGCATCAAGACTATAGATCCCCGCCGATTTTGCAGGTTTGGATCGAGTGGAGCTCCACTGATAGCTGTTCATTGCCATTTCTTCAAACAGTTCTTGTGCAGCCCTTGGTGTCTTGCTATTTAAAGTGCCCCTAGCTGCAGCATCTATCATTTGTCTTGTGGCTGGGTTTAATCCATTGTAGAAGGTTTGCACTTGAAGCCAGTCCGGAATCCCATGATGTGGGCATTTCCGCAACAATTCCTTGAACCTCTCCCATGTATCGTATAATGTCTCTGACTCCAACTGATAGAAGGAAGAGATATCGTTCCTCATTTTGGCAGTTTTCGCGGAAGGGAAATATTTTGCCAAGAATTTTTCTGCCATAGCCTCCCATGAAGTGATGGACCCTCGTGGGAGAGAATTCAACCATTGCTTTGCTCTGCTCCTAAGAGAAAATGGAAATAGCCTCAAGCGGATTGCATCATCAGTAGCTCCATTGATCTTGAAAGTATCACAAATTTCTAGAAAATTTGCAATGTGAGCATTGGGGTCTTCGTCTTGCAACCCATCAAACTGGACAAACTGCTGAACCATCTGAATAACATTGGGTTTTATTTCAAAATTTCCCTGCACATCCGGACGAACAATGCTAGATTCTGTCCCAGTTAATGATGGACGAGCATAATCAGACATGGTCCTTGGTTGATCTTCGTTGTTTGCCATTCCTTCCATGTGGGTTTGTGCATTTTCCCTCTGTACTAGCAGTCGCCTCTTTTTCTGAATTTTTCGCGAAGTTCTTTCGATCTCTGGGTCAAATTCAAATAGTTCTTCAGATAGTGCAGTAGAACGGGTTTTGATCATAAACTAGAAAAATCAGCTCCTAAAAAGAATGAAAGCAAAATAGTTAAGTTAATTCAAGACTAAAGAAATAAATAAAATTAGTAAATACGTAATAAAGGGAATCCTAATTAAACAGTCCCCGGCAACGGCGCCAAAAACTTGGTGTGTAAAAACTAATCACTGGGCAAGTGTACCCGTTGTCGAAGTAATATTATTAAAATTAAAATTAAAGTACCAAGTGTCGTATCCACAGGGACTGTTATTAAGAAACTTTTCCTTAATTGCGTAATTGTTAATAAATATGAGAAATAAACCTTGTTGATGAAATTGCTAAAAGTAAAAGAATAATAAATTAAAAGGAACAGATATTCTAGTGAAAATAAATTATAAAAAATTATGACTGAAGGTATTCAATGTAAAAAGGCAAGTATCTAGACTGTAAATCCCCATAAGTGTCCAAATAACTGAAATTCTTCTTCAACTACTTAGTTCCAAACCCTTATCGTTGCAGAAAATTTCAAATTAAATCAATACCTTTCTCAAGGATAATGATTCCTAACCCTCAGTTGATTAATCGGAATCTCTTCCTTAATTAATACCCCTAGGTTGCATTAAGTTCATTATGAATTCCATAATTAGGGTTAATCCTAATACAGAAAACTCACGTCTTTCTATCTCTAGAAATACATTCAAGTCTTTTTAATTGAGAAATGTTAATTTCATGCAGGAATTTTACTCAAATTTAAACAAGAAAATAAGATAGAGAAAATTGATACTACTCAATTAAACCTAAGAGAAAAGAACATGAAATAGCATTAGAAGAATTCTAGAAAATTTAGTCAATTAGGATTCATTACGTCTAGATACTCAAAAGAAAGTTAGAACCTAAACATCTTGAAATTAAAATTACAAAAGAGATGAAATAAAATGCTTAATCCCATCCTCTTGCTGTCTCTGAGTCTTTCGTCTCCAAAAACCGCCTCCTTTAGGTTTGAGTTCAGTTCTCCTTTTATAGAAATTATCCTAGGGTTAATTTTCTCACAAAAGTTAAATTTCTGACACGCGTAAAAGTACACGCCCAAGTACACGGCCATGTACTTGGCCGTGTACATCTCTGTTTTCTAATAGATGCCTTTCAAAGCTTTCCATAAAAGTACACGCTCATGTACACGGCCATGTATCTGGCCGTGTACATCTCTGGTCTTGATGATACACTTCAATTGACACGACCAGTGAGATACACGCTCATATACACGGGCATGTACTTGCCCGTGTATATCTTTGGTTTCTTTTTTTCTTCAATTCTCGACATCTTTAAGGCTTTCACTTCTTGATCCTTTTTCCTGAAATATGAATAAAATAAAATTAATAATAGTAAATTTTCTCAATGAATAGCTTAAAACTCTCAATTATCATTCATGAATTACAATGTAGGATCAAGTATAGAAAGCATTTATCATATCACATTCTACAGGTCCATGTATCTATATCATCTTATGAGCTTTGATGTCAACTAATCTCAAAATTGTGGTGCTTGCTTCTCCTTATAGGTTCTTGTGCTTTCTTTATATCACAGACTTCAGTACATACCGATCTCATAAGTCCCAAGCCTATCTCGTTTCATAGGTCCATGTGCCTATCTTATCTTGTTAACTCTGATATTAACTAATCCCAAACTTCTGTACTTGCTTCTTCTATTAGGTTCTTATGCACTTTTCTTCTTATATACTTTTGTACATACCTATTTCATAGATCTCATGACTATCTCACTTCACAGGTCCATGTATCTATCTCATCTTATGAGCTCTGATGTCAACTAACCTCAAGCTTTTATTCTTGCTTCTTCTTATAGGTTCTTGTACATTCTTCATTTCTCACACTTATATACATATCAATCTCATAGGTCCCAAGGCTATCTTATTGCACTAGCTCATGTTCCTTGATGTCAACTAATATTAAGCTTTTGTACTTGCTTCTTCTTGTAGATTCTTACGTATTCTTCATCACAAATAATTCTATACATATCCATTTTATAGATCCCATGATTATTTCACTTCACAAGCCTATGAGCCTATCTCATCTCATGAGCTACGATGTCAACTAATCTCAAGCTCTTGTGCTTGCTTCTTCTAATTGATTCTCATGTATTATTCATCTCACACACTTTTGTACCTACTCATCTCATAGGTCTTATGGCTATCTCATTTCACGGGCTTATAAGCCTATCTCATTTTAGGAGCTTTGATGTCAACTAATCTCAAGCTCTTATGCCTGCTTCTTTGCATAAATTTTGGTACATTCTTCATCTTGGATAGGTTCCATGTGCCTATCTTATCTTATGAGCTCTGATATCAATTCATCTCAAGCTCTTGTACTTGCTTCTTCTTATAGGTTCTTGTACGTTCTTCATCTCACATACTTCTATACCCACCTATTTCATAGGTCTTATGGCTATCTTATTTCATAGGCCCATGAGCCTATCTCTTCTTGCATACTCTAAAGTCAGTTAATTTCAAAGTCCTTCTACTTGTTTTATCTCGTAGGTTCCCATGCCTTCTTCATCTTACAAGCTTTTGTACTTACACACTTTATAGGCTTTCATGCTTTCTACTTTCATAAGTCTATACCTTCTCTTATAGGCCCTTTTGCACATACCTAGGACCTATGCCTAATTAGGTTTCTGTGCATATGCACTCCTAAGATTGTACACATCATAAGTTAGCATGCTTGTTCTAATAGTTTTGGTGCTTACACCACTTGATATGTCTCACATCTACTCACCTCATAGGCCCTTATACCTATTATGTCTCATAAGATATCGTGCTTTTTGATAGACTTTCATGCTTGCTACATCTCATAAGCTTTTGCACGTACTTACCTCATAGCTTGATGCTTGTTGTATCTCATAAGCCATCATGCTTGCACTTGTTAGGCTCTAGTGTTAAGTCCTCACGCTTACTTTAATCCATAGGTATCTGGACCTTCTCCATCTTACAAACTTTATGCTTCTACATAGACCTCATAGGTTCTTATGCTTTCTTAATCTAATAGGTCTTTATGCTTATGACATCTAATAGACTCTTACCTACCCACCTTATAGGCTATCATGTTTGTTACTTTCAAAAATCCATCTCTTGTCTATCGTGCAAGCTTTCGTGCCTACATAGATTCTATGCTTATTACATTCCTTTGACTTTTATGTTTATGAATGCGTAAGCATATTGTACCTCATAGGTTAACACGCTTGTTCTTACAGGCCTCACTCACTTACCAACTAATCCCTCACATAATTTTATCTCAGGTTTCTACGTGTTTTCTTAATCTTATAGGTCTCTATGCTCATGGCCTTCGATAGACTTTTACCTACCCACCTTGTAGGCTTTCATACTTGTTGCTTTCAAAAATCTATCTCTTGCATATTGTGCAAACTTTCATGCCTACATAGGTTTTATGCTTATGAACTCCTAAGCTCATTGTACCTCATAGGTTAGCACGCCTATTCTTACTCGCTTACCAACTAAGCCCTCACACAAGTTTATCTCATAAGTCTCTATGTGTGCTTCGTCTCTAAGGACTTAGTGTCTATTGTAATCTTAGGCCTAATGCCTATTTTACCTTGTAGGATTTTATGTTAGCTTATTTTAAAAGTTGTAGTGCCTATCCATCTTACAAGTACTTGTGTTCATACATCCCTGAGGCCTAAGCCAATACATGTGCTTAATCATAAGCTTCATGTATTTTGTGCATCAAAGAATGTTGTGCTTGTTGCAATTCACAAGTCTTATGCTTCACATTTCAGAGGTACTCATACCAATTTTTCTTAAAGGTCCACATGCTCATTCCACCACGCATACCTCTTATATCTCATAAACTTTACTCTCATTCTAGTTGGATCTTGCAAGGCTTCCTGTTATCTCACATGCCTATGTTTTATTCTCATCTTATACCCTTGCATGTTTGAATCATCTTATGAGCCTCATACATACCTCATTTTGTAGGCCTTGTGCTATTTATTTCATATGCTCACATGCCTAGTATGCCTCATGGACCTTTTTGTTCCTACTCCTTTTCCAAAGCTCTCATGTCTTTCCTCATACTAAAAGTCAAGACTTGACTGACTTCTTTATTGTTCTATCAAAGCTCAGTAGCTAACTGTATCTTTAATTTTTTGTTAAAGCTTGAAATCTTATCGACCCTTTTACTTCTTATCAATGTCCGAAATCTGAAATCTGACACTCAAACACAAGACCAGGAATAGGACTGGACCTCCTTCCTCTTCCTGACCTATCATCAAATGAAAGATAGAGCAGGGAAAACAAGTCCTCTCCTCTCCCCTCTTTACTTTCTTGTTAAGGCCCAAAATCTAACTGACCTCTTTGTACTGCTGCAAACGTTCAGAAGTTGACTGGCTGCTATACTTTCCTCTGAAATTAGACCGACACATTTACTTTCATCAAAAGTCCAGAATCTGACTGGCACCTTTACTTTCTCAGAAGTCCAGAACCTGACTGGCACATTTACATTTTCCAAAGTTCAGAACCTCACTGGCACCTTTACATTTTCCAAAGTCCAGAATCTGATTGACACTTATACATTTTTTCAAAGTCCAAAACCTGACTGACACCTTTACATTTATCAAAGTCCAGAATCTGACTAGCACCTTTACATTTCTCAAAGTCCAGAATCTGATTGACACTTTTTACATTTTCACAATGTCTAGAACCTGACCAGTTCTCCTTCACAAAACTTGACTCGTATACAATACTTGTGTTACATAGGACCACAAATAAAATTAATTCACTTCTTTACTTATTTCTTACTATAATAATATGAAAAAAATTATTATTTATATTATTTAGTAAAAAATAATTAAAGAGGGGCAACTATGAATACCCAATTTTATCCGGGTCCTTGTCAAAAATAAATTTCAAAACAAAAAATTAAATATAATAATTTCTTTTTTAAGAGGTTAAGAAAATAGATAAAAAAACTAATTTAAAATTTAAATTCAAATTTTCAATTTTTAAATATAAAATCAGATTTAGAAATGGTCAAAGTAGTTAGTAGATTTTTAGAAAAATGGATAAAAAAAGAAAAAAAAAATTGATTACTGGTCCTCAGAAAATAAGGGAGCCTTTATTAGGATCTAGGATTTTAGAAAATGCCTATAAATAGGAAGCTTAGGTCTTCAAAGAAGGGGACTTTGGAGGTGGACACCTTTTATTTTCTTTACGGAGATACTTTGAGAGCACAGAGAGAATTCAAGAGAGAAAGCTCAAAAAACGAAGAGAAAGAAGAGATTCAAGAGGGAGAGCTCGAGAAACAAAGAGAAAGAGAAAAAAGCAAAAAAAAATCAATTGAGAGTTAAAGTATAGTCCTAAAGATCAATTGGAAAGAATATATCTAGAAGGTTGAAGGAAAAGTCAATTTAAAAACTCAAAGTCATCACAAATGAGTCAACAAAAATATAATCCACTTCTCTTTCCTTTTTTCTTTTGTTGTTCCTTTTTTCTTTTACTCATCATATCTTTATGTGTTTTTTCTTTCATCTGCATTAAAGTTTTTTCTTTTTACAAATCCTAGTTTATCTAACCTAAAAACTTTTCCTTCTCTTATAAACCTACAAAATTTTTAATTTTCCTTTTAACTCTAAAATTTTTCTTTCTGCAAATCCCAATTTTTTTTAACATGAAATATTTGTTTGTTTTGTAAAAAAAAAAAAAATTTTTTTTTCTACTCCAAAAACCATTCCTTTTGCAAAATCCTAAAGAATCTAATTTTTCTCCAACAACCCTTTTTTAATGATAAACTCTTTTTTTTTTTTGTAAACCTAAAAACCTAATGTTCTTTTAACCTTAAAAGCCCTAAGTCAAACCCTAAAAAATAAAATCCAAATCCATGAATTTTTTTTTTTAACTCCGAGTATTACCTTTTTTACAAACCCTAAAAACAAACTATTTTTTTTTCTAACTCTAAATTATTCTTTTTTTTGCAAACCCTAAAAATAATATTTATTTTTCTAACCCAAAATCATTCAATTTTTTGCAAGGTCTAAAACAAACTATTTTTTTCAACCTTAACAATTTTGCAAATTATAAAAATTTAATTTTTTCAAATCTTAAAAGTTCTTTCTTTTCATAAATTCTAAAACTCCTAATTTCTTTGCATATCCTAACCTAAAAAAAAACTTGTTTCCTAAATTGAATGAGAGTTATTTACTCATCATTTTTGTTTGCTCTTGTATTTGTTTATTTGTTCTGTATGCCTCTCGTTTGTTTCTTTTTTTGCGTGCAAAAATCTCATATTAAAAGGTATATCTTTTCATTATTAAAAAAATGAGTCTTTTGAATCCACACAACGGCCAAGTAATTTTGATAGAGTGGAGGATCCACCTTTAACGTTGCTTGAATCGTAAGGGTTTATTGAGTAGCTGTGTGCTAACTTGAACCTTGTGCAGGAGTGGATTTACTTAAAAATGATAATAATAAAGAAAAATCAAGTTTTTCACAAAAAAAGAAAGAAATAAAATCTTTGAAACTTATTCAAACATAATTTTTGAAAAAGAACTACGTGGTAGTTTTGATTCTTCCGTTACGTACGGAAGATACGTAGGAGCGAGAACCTGACCTGTCAAGTCCAATTTTTTTAAAAAACTTTTTTCAGGTTCAAATATTGTTAAAAAAATTTTAAACTAAGATTAATTTTTAGCACATTTTCTTTACAAAATTTAATAAAATTAAAATTTTATTTTATTTTAAAAAAATAAAAAAACAAAAAATAAAGTGTTAAGATAAGTCTTTTTTTTACTATATATTTCTTTAATACAAAAAATGAAAAAAAGAATAATATTTTTACAAATAACTCATTCCTTTAATTCAAATAACTTTTATTGTGTAATGTTATTTTAAAAAATAACATTCAAATCTCAAAAAAAATTGTAAAAATTAGGAATAAATATAAAAATAATAGTAGTAACAAATTTGAAAATAGTAAAAGAAATATTAATTGGTTTTTTTTAAAGTGAAATAAATATTTTTCAAGTTAAAATAAAATTTTGCACAATTAATTAAAAGGTAACAGTTTTAACCAACGGACATAGTAGGATACTAATACCTTCCTTACATGTAAGCGACTCCCGAGCCCAAATCTGGTTTCAAAGATTTTTTTTTTATCAAAAGTTTTTTCTAACATTTTCTTTAATAAACTTTGGTGGCAACTCCTTGTCATCATCGTCCCATCGTGGCCCCGGTTGCGACATTCCTATTGAAACATTTTGTTTGGCATGGTTCTCTGGAATCTGTAAAAGAATCAAAATTGTGATATTTTTCAGAATTCACCACTAGATTTTAATTCTCTGTTCTATAGAATTAAGACTAATTTTGATGCTTTTTTGCACTATGACAGGTCCAAGAAGAAGGATTCATCTGCTGCTTTGGCAAATCAGTGTTTTACTACATGGATGCCCCTCTTGCACTCTCAACTAGAGCTTAATGTGGATGGTGCTACTTGCTGGCCTGCTAGTACAGCTAGCTGTAAGGCTTCATTAGAGATAGACATGGTCTATTTGTGACTGGCTTTCATAATATCTTAAATTCCTGCTTTCCCCTTGCTGCTGGATTGTGGGGAATATATTAGGGTCTCAAGCTTGTTATCCAAAGCAAAATTAATTTAATTTAGATGGAATGTGATTTTAAGGAGGCCATTTCTCTTGTTGTCAATTTTCCTAATCGTAATCATTCATTTTTCTATTATTAGTGAGATTAGAGAATTGGCTAAGAGTATTAGGTTTATTCGGTTCAGCCATGTTCTTGGGGCGGCCAATCAAAGTGCTGACTGGTTGGCAAAAATTGAAATGATTTTGGGCAGCTTTTATTGTGTTTGGTAAGGCTCTTCCTTCTCTTCTTTCTTTCCTTA